TCCTGCCCTCTATAAGAAATGTAATGTTTCTCCCCCTCACTTCCTTTTCCTGTTCTTTTTCCTCTCTCTGCTGGCTTCTCTCTCTTGCGGCTTTATGACTCCTCACTCACTTTTCCCCTCTCTTGCCAGCATGAGGTAAATGAGCATATCGATAGCAGCCTGCCCCGTCTGCTGTTTCGATCCAGTCAGAAGGCAGAGTAAAATTCCTGAATCTCTTTTCGCTGAGAATATTTCTGAATGTATGAGTGGAATCTCAATGCGTTTATTTGGCATAGTGAATTGAAATTCAGATAAACTCCAGTCAGCTCTGTTGCCTGTCATCGCGCACACACACACACACTTTGCATACACACACACACACAGCGCTCCCTGCTCATTACCCTATCTCCATTGCTAGCCATCAGTAGCGCCACCTCTAGCAGCATACATACATCACTGGCATACAGCATACTCTGTCATGTGTGAAATGGGCTGTGGTTGATCCCTGCCCTGGGAGAGGAGAGGAGAGGAGAGTGTTTCAGCAGACGAGATGAGAGCGACCCTCTGAAGAGGAGGAGAGCAAAAAAAAAAAAAAAAAAAAAGTGAGAGAGGAGTTGCAGGAGGGGAAAAAAGGGGAATGGTAAGTAGAGGCAAGAGAGAGGACAGAATAACAGGGTATGAGGGACGAGCGGGCAAATGAGGAGTTTTTCGGCGGAATAAATGTGAAGAGGAATGGGAGAGAGTAGTGGAGGGGAGATGAGATGAAAGGAAAGTAAAGTGGGAAGAAGAGGTTTGAGGAGAGGGAAGAGGAAGATGATGGGATAAAGGGGGGAGAGGAGTTCAACAAAAAGAGCAGAAAAGAGAAAATGACAGGGATGAGACAAAGGAGGAAAGGCAGCCTGGTTCCAGACTGATGAATCGCTGCCCACAGCTCTGATGTCTTTCAGTGATAGTAGAACAGAAATTGTCAATTAATAAGTTCACTGATATAGAATAGTTCGCTACAAATTTGTATAATTAATTAGTTATTTATTAAGCAAATATCGTACATTCTCTGGTTTCAGTTTCTACGATGTGAGCATTTGCTGTTTTTCTGTTTTATATTATTGTAACCTGAATATATTTGGGTTTAGCTCATTTGAATATGTAAATTTTGGCTCTGGGAATTTCTAATGAACATTTTTAACAATTTTATGACCTTTTGTAGATTAAATGATTAATTGATTGATCAAAAAAGAATCCAGAGGTTAATTTTTAATGAATATGATCGTTAGTTGCAGCCCTAGATTCAAATAGGTCTGGCGTTGTACTCATTTCAGATTGTTTCTTGATGGAAAAACACTAATGAGACGAACAGTTGGTGGCACTAATTCTGAAACCATTGCAGAAGACGAGAACACAATGAGATGATGCAGTTAAAAGGGTGCCAGTCAAACTTCAAATGAACAAAAACATTGTGAAAAACATAATGGAAATATGACATTCATTTCATGTCTTTTGCATTTAGCAAGGAGTGTCAGACTCCTCTTCGCTGCACACAGAGCGGATGTTTTTGTGTGCCGCCACTTTCTTCAGTGGATTTGGCGTTTTCACTCAAATTGAAAATGCGCATTAAAAACAGGTGGATGGAAACACATTTGCTGTCTTAAAGAACCAGATATTTTCTAAATTACTTTTTCATCTTTTGTACTAATGCCTCAACTGGGAGAGTTTTATATCCACCCGAGCCTTGGAAGTACTCCAGCAGTGAGCCAACCAAAAAAAAACTGGAACCAGGTGCAGCCAAAATAGCTCCTCCCACCTTGCAACTCTATGGCAAAGCCAGGAAAATGGCGACACAAACTTTTGCCATAATAATGGTGAAAATCCTGAGTAGAATTCAACGAAATTGTTGTAAGTGGACCTAAAAAAAGACAAAAATGACAAAAGTGAAATGGCAATTTACTCTGATTATCAGGCTTCAAAAAGGAGGAAGACAGATAAATATCAGGGTGCAGGAAAATAGGAGTAGAAGAGGGTAGACGAGACGGGAGGAGACGGGGAGTTTCGACAGGAGCTGGGAAGATGACAAAGACAGAACAGCAGAACGAGGCAAGACGAGATGAAAGTAGATATAAAGAGGAAAGGAGGAGCGCGGGACAGATGTGGAGGAAGGGAGGAGAGAAGCAGTGGGGCTGTTGGGGAGATGAGAGGAGCTGAAGTTGGGATAGGAAACAAAAAGGGATATGAATATGGAGAAGTGAAGGACGGGAGTGTAGAAAAAGAAAGCAGTGGGGAGTTTTGAGAGGCTACGAGGGGATGGAGAGAGTTTGTCAGAGAGGAGGGATGGATGTTGAGGAGAGAAAAGAGAGAGAGAGAGAGCACTGAGAGAACAGCATAGACAGAGAGAGAGAGTGTGGCACTGCGCCACTCTGCAGCAGCAACATTGACTGACAGCCATAGCCTGACTACTGTCTGTCTGTCTGCCTCCCTGTCTGCCTCTCTGTCTGTCTCCCTGTCTGTCTCCCTGTCTGTACTGGCTGGCTGGCTGGCTGGATGCAGCAGTGTCCCCACAGCTTTGCCCTTGTCTCCACCTCCCTCCCTGTCTCTGTCTGTCTCCCTCCCTCTCTGTCTCTCAGCAATGCAGCAAGTTGGTCTAGATTAGAGAGAATACTTATGATTTTACTCCCCCCCCCTTTAAAAATAGCTGTTAGTGATGCTGTTTTTCAGGCCATTTGGTAGTAAACAACATCTCCCTGCTGAACGTCTCAGCAGTGCAGCATACAAATCCAAAAAAAGGATGCCCAAATTCAACCTGGAGACATCCCTTGTTGTCTTTTCTTTGTGTATCCTCTTAAATATTATAGGTGCTTGTTGTAATATAAAATCCTTCTCTTTATTTCTCACCAGTCTGCTAACCTTGAGTCTGTGTCCTTTTTTTCCCTTCCCCCCTGCTTCCAGCACTCTGTAAACTTTGTTTGTGGAAGAGCGCGATACAAATAAAGTTATCATTATCACCTCCAACGCTCAAATCGCCCCTGACGAGATTAAAACACATTTCATCGCCGTTGAAAGCAACGCGGCGCTTAGAGCGACAGATAGCCCATAAAGCACATAAACATCGTCTCCCCGTCCCCCCTCTCGCTTGTGCGTTATTATCCTCCAGAGTGAGGGGAAAGATAAATGACATTGAGATACGACGGCAGACTTATAGGCTGATAAAGAGGCCATAATGTGTCTGACCAAGTGTCCTTCTTCCTCCACTGGGTCATACATGATTATCTTCAGAGGGAAGGGACCTTTAGATAACTCTCAGATAGGATCGTCACAGCAAACAGGGCCCCGGCTTCACAAAGTGGTAACATTTGTTGGCTCTGCTACTGCAATGCAGCACTATGTTGTCCTCTCTGCTCCTCTGCTCCCTCTCTCTCTCTGTCTCTCCCTCTCTCACTCTGTCTCTCACCCTCATCTCCCTACCATAACACACTACTACTGCTTTACTTTCCTTGCTCGAGGGCAGTCAGATGTAGAAATGACTCTAACATTAACCACAACCAGAACCTGTTGTGGTGTTTCATGTAAATAGGAGTGTAATGTTATGTGTGTGTGTGTGTGTGTGTGTGTGTGTGTGTGTGTGTGTGTGTGTGTGTGTGTGTGTGTGTGTGTGTGTGTGTGTGTGTGTGTGTGTGTGTGTGTGTGTGTGTGTGTGGGAGGGGATGTCGGGGAGATGCAAAGCCTGCAGAGATAAGCCGGGTTAAATTGTGCGTACAAGCTATAAGCTGGCTTTCGTCTGGGAGCAAAATGCACTTTTCTCCTCCTCTTTCTCTTTGGGCATATTTCCCATGCAGTCTGTCGCATTGAATCAATGGACTTCCATCTCATCTACATAACTTTTCTCTTTATGTGGGAGTTTATGAACTACATTATAGTTAATCACAGATCTGACACAGACAGGCTGCATTGAACTTTAGTCAGAAAGAAAAAGGGCAGGTAGCAGCACAGACTACAAACAATGTCTCCACTTAATCATTTTGATGCCATAGTTACACAACTCCTCTGTGAGGGTGAAGCTGTCATATCAACATCCACTAAATGTCAAAATGTTTGTCTGACTGAGCGAGTGTTGGCCTCTCTACACCTCTCACTGTGTCTGACGATTGTCTGTCTCATCTGTCTGTCGGGAGGAGGCAGCCTCCCCAGCTGAGTGCTGGAGGTCACTTAAGCCGCAGTTTCTCTAATGGCTATTAAATAGTCTCAGGCTTTATTGAATTCTAATCCAACAGTCCCAACTTCTATCTCAAAAGAGAAAAGTACATTTTTGTCCCCTTAACAAGGAACGCTCATTTTGTGATGATTCTGGCGGCCCCTGTAGACAAAAGCGGTAGTGTTTCCATCGCAGCGTTTCGTTGATTTCAAGTGGAATCCGACCCGGTGGCCTTAAGAATAACTATATAGAAATCTACCCAACTAATCTCCTCGCTAATGGTCTTGTTTGTTCATGTAGGTCATATAGTGGCAAGAATATTAAACTGAGACTGTTTCATAACGAGTCAACAACTCCTTGCATTATGTTTTAAAGAACATAACACAACTCATCCCTCCTCACCTTGACACAAGCATCCAAGCCTTTGTTCAATTCCAGTCTCTGACAAAGATAGTGGGATGATAATACCAGATTCAGACTTCCAAACATCCCATCAGAAAGCTAAAATCAACGTCACTGTTGCTAAGTGCGTGTTTTTCTACAACAAAGAAGAAACTAGAGAGAGAAATATGAAAAAGTTGCTGGAGTGAATAAAAAGTAGCTGATTGGACATCTTTTCTGAAAGCTTTTATTTTATCATCCTTGCTACAGTGAACCTGCACAGAGCTTTACAGGTTTATGATTTTGATTTTAAATGTTATTTCAACGATTATTATTCCTGATTATTACTGTGTCTGTAATCACTCCGCTATACTGCACTGTATGTACATTTTATTTGAGCGTCCAAATTCTTTGTTCACTTATATATATTTTGGCGCTTTTTGCCTTTATTTGACAGGACAGTTCAAGATAGACAGGGACATGCAGAAAAGGGCCACAGGTTGGACTCGAACCGATGGCCGCAGCAGCAAGGACTCAGCCTTGGTACATGGGGCGCCAGCTCTACCAGGTGAGCTACAGGGCACCCCAAGTGTCCCGATTCTATGTGGAAATATATGCTTTATATATGCCCTTAAAAATTCACTCAAACAACAAAAAAGTCGTTTTATTACTTATTGCTAACAATTCCACATTGCGTCACATTGTATGTGATGCCGTAAAATTATTTTTAAGTGAAGTTCTGAATTTACTGCTCGCAATATAGTAAAATGTTTATTAAATGAGTGAACGAGGGACTGAGGGACAAAACCCAAGTGTAACGTTGCCTTGGTAAATGTGGGGTCTGGACCTTAAATCATCTCCAACTTTTCAAATTCTTTCGGTTTTCAAGTTTTAGCCTTTTTGCACCTTTCAGGCCGCAGGAGAGCAGAGTGGAAGTAAAACCATGTATTTTTAATGACCTTTCCAAAATATGAAGTTGTTGCTTACATACATACAGCCAGGGGTCAGCAACCTTCACTATTAAGAGTCATTTTCAAAGTCTGTCTGGAGCTGCAGCACATAGATGGTCTTTATAATGCTAATTTTACGCAGATGCTGCATACCATCAACCAGAAGCGTTGGTGGTGAAAGCAAACAAGTCACTTTATTTTTCAGAATCAGAATCAGAAATACTGGGGGGAAATTCTTCCTCCAAGAATTTCCTTTTTTTTTGCGATTTGGAATCCATAGCTCGCTTAGCTTGGGAGACTCAAGACTAGTAGCCACCACTATTAAGGTTCACCAAAGTCTCGTCTACAGTGGAGGTGTTTCAGACCCGTATTTTCTGTTGTCTGCCTCACGTATGACAAAACATATGATACACTTCCATTTTAGTGCAGTCCAGCTGTCTACACAGGCCACGTAATAGCTCAGGATTCACTCGCCCTATACTCGCACACTATGTTCTGTTTACGCACTAACTACAGTGACTTTTGGGCTCTGAGCACTGCCAAAATGTGGGTGACCTCTACACAATTCTGTGCCCGAACACCTCCTGTGTAGACATTGTGTGCCTATCAACCAAACTGCAGCAGTGAGTCAGCTTGAACTCTTACAGTCTGATAAAAGCGAAGTGTTTTGCTCTGACGAAAGAATGAAAATGTCTACTTTCCTGCTGTTCATCTGAGGCTTCCAAATACCCAAGAATTTTATTTTTTCTTTAGAAATGTAGCTTCTGTTTGTCCCTCCGCAACCTGCTGGCTACATGCCCTCTCACAAGCAAAACAATCCTGATGCATCATTTCAAGAACTATTTTAACAGCATCATTTTGAACTTTTAGGCTTGCAGAGTTATGAAGTCATTTAAGTCAAAAAGCCAAAGTCCGGGAGACATTTCAAGTCGTAGGTGTTGAAGTTACTTTTGACGTTATCATGTCCACACCTCTGCACACAACACACACACACACACGTTCAGTATCTTCCTCGCCAATAGCCGTAGGTCACACTGGCTGTGAGAGCTCACCTTCCACCCTATCTGTCCATTCCCACCCACCTCTGTCTGCTCATTGCTCCCTGCCTCGCTGTTTGCCACCGTCTCACTCCCTTTTTTATTCTCATTATCTCTGGCTCTGTCTCAGTCCCTCTTTTTCTCACTCTGTCACTTTCCCTCTGCCTTCCTCTGTCATTATTCTGCCCACATGTCTAGACTGAAGAGAAAACTTTTGCTGCTTGCATGTGTGATATCTGTGTACGGCACTGACACTTACTTTGCGTATGTGCGTGTGTGTGTGTGTGTGTGTGTGTGTGTGTGTGTGTGCTTTGTTGAGTGCTTTAGGTCAAAGTTCAACCTTCCTTTCACTTTGAGAGAGGAGTCAGATTCAGTCTGTATGGCGCTGAGAGGCAGACCTAGTGAATGTGAAGACTCTCGCTATATGAAGGATTCTCATAATCTATGGCAGCTAAATGACCATCAGGGCTGTTTCTATTACAGCACTAGAGGTAAAATAAGGCAAGTCAGTTAGTATAAGGTACTTAATGATCGAGCTATATCACAGCTTACAACACTTAAAGAACCATTCTCACAAACGATTTTCTATTGATAGAGAAGATTCGTCTTTAGGAATTAGGAATGTAAAGATTTCACTCAGTTTAAAACAATTTTCTTCCTTCAGAAAAGCCATGATACAGTTTGAGGTTTCATACGAACTGCAGAAGTGATGGAAATAACTTTACGTTGTGTCCTTGCTGATGTTTTGACTGAAATTTAGTTTGAGGTGTCCTCATGTTCAGCTTTAAGGGCGAGCCAATCAGAAACGAGTGTTGTTTGTGGCCACAGCCTGAAAGCCATTGATCGAGCCTGTTCTGACATACGGTCCCACTGCAGGTGATGAAGCTCAACTGAAATCAGTGTACTGTTACATCATGATCCGGCGTGTCCTCCGGAGAGCTGTCAGCCTAGTGTGGTCCTGTGAAACCAGATGGAAGGGCCACTGTTTTCTTTTTCCAGGTTATTGGATTCTGTTTTTCAGCCATATGAACGTAGCTAGAATTGCGTGGGAACCCAGCTTTGGTCTAGGGGTGTAAGATGGCGCCCCACATAACCCCAACATCGCCAGTTTGAGTCTGACTAAGGGGGCTTTGTTGCATGTAAAGATCATTTAGAAACAGTATTGTGTGCCCCATGTAGGCTGAGTCCTTACTGCTCTTTGCTGCATGTTGTCCCCCCCCCTTTTTTTTTTCCCCCTTCTTAAAAAAAAAAAATTTAAAAACCCAAAAAAAATTTTTTAAAAAAAAAAAAATAATTTTTTTTTATATTTTTTTTCCACCAGGGTTCTTAAATTTTTATTTTTACACTGAAATGTCACACACATATGTCAGTTAGTTTGTTAAAAAAACACAACTAATTTAAGGGATCCTTATTTTTTTTATTTGTATTTTTTGGGGGCTTTTATTGCCTTATTTGATAGGACAGCTGAAGACAGACAGGAAAGGGGGGCAGAGAGAGATAGGGGATGACATGCAGCAAAGGGCCACAGGTCAGATTCAAACCCTGGGCCGCTGCAGCAAGGACTCAGCCTCAGTACATGGGTCGCCAGCTCTACCCACTGAGCTAACCGGGCGCCCCTGGGATCCTTCTTAAAAATGTTTATGTAATGTGTTAATGCAGAAAAGTAACGTTGGCCAACATGTTGTCATTGGATATTTGTAACTATCAACCTAAAAAACCCATTAACAATAAGTGATTTAAAGCGGTCTTTTGTGTTATCTGTGGTAATAACCCGGTACTGGCTAATAATATCCTGCTGTTAATGTATTGCTCGGGTTGTGTTTTCCATCTGTTTACAGCACGTTTTTTAAAGACTGCTTTGACACACGTGCAGTACCAGCTAGCTATATATGTCGAGTGTAATAAATTCAGTTTCTATAATGGAGCTGCACTGACCTGTGGGCTCTGATACATAACAATGTAAAACTTCGCTCTGTTGTTGTGTCATGTTCGCAGCGGTATATAACTCGGAGTGTGTGTGTGTCCGTGTGTGTGTGTTTGCCTGAGACTGTTGCAGGTGCGATAATACGACAGGTGATTCATTGCTGTTGCTCACAGGAAGAGCATTTTGAGGTAATGGATTGTTGTTGGTAATTACATATTCTGTTCCTCTGGAGAGAGGCCTGTATTTCCTCCAGCATCACAAAGCCCAAACTGTGTGACCAAACGTGGAACTGTGACACAGCTTACCAGGATAAACGCCCAGCTGTAACGTCGGGGACCTTTTGTAGTATTTCCTCCAGTAAAGCATTCAGAAGTGAATTTCAACCTAAAATATTGCTGTTGAGTTCCACAAAAGTCAGCTTATGGCTGTACATAGCCAAATGCTGCTTTGGTTTTTGCCAGCTACTTGTATGTGAAATGTGACCATAATAGAGTGATTTTTGTGAATGGAACATTTCTGGGCGGCTTTCATTTTCAAATTCTGTACTGTGTTGCAATAATACAGCAAAACCTTTTTTCTGGTTTAACTGCACAAAGGACATTTTTGTTGCAGTACATTGTCTGTATGGTCATATCCAACACAATCCACACAGGCATTGACAAATGAGAGTAGCTGCATGTCAGGAAGCCAAAGATGAAGAAGGTGCGGAAAATTCCAGACAATACCAAAAAATGTTATGTTTGGCTTCAGATAGACCACAATATACTGCAAGAAGAAACGGCTTCCTCTCATTCATTTCATTTACACAATGCAATATCATGCCATATATGGAGGACTGATAATGCAGAAATAAAAAATACAAAGACAAGACAAAAATGATTTACTCTATAAATGAATTAATATACCATTAAATGCACCAAAAATAATATTGAAAATAATGTAAGCATTGATTAATTTATAAAAGTGACACAAATTGATATTTGTGTTTTAACTTGCTTCTGTATTTATTTACAATCCCATTTAACTTTCCATTATTATTTCCCTTTTGCAGTCCCCCCCATTTATTTCCCCACTTTTCTTTTTCTGTATTTTCTTTTTACATTTCTTTATATATTTCTGCTTCATTATGCAAATTCAAAGTTTGCTGTATAAATTTGTGTCAGTGCTATTAGACAGAGGAGTCAACAGTTCCAAAGGTCATGTTTAAAGAACATGTTGACACTAGGTTATAATGAACACGTGAGTTTTGATTGATGTGTTAATAAAAAAAGCTGAGGACACAGTTAAACAACAAAATAGAGAAAAATAGGAACCGAAAAAAGCAAGTTCCCTAAAGCAGAAAGTTAATAGTGTTTTTCAAAATTAGGTGTGACCTTTTTCAGTTGTGCTGTTTTTTTAAGTTTAATGCAATTTAGCCGGGTTCAGCAGGCATTGTGTTGCTGATTAAAGGTTTTGAGTGACATTTTCAAGTAGCTATTCATTTGAGATTTGTTATTTTGCTGAAATGTGCCACTGACATTTTTTGCTTAAAGGAATACCATGACATTTTGGATTTTTTTTCAGTTTTCTGAGTCCTTCACCTAACACATGGTATGAAAAAAGTGTGTGCTTTGACACTTTAGTTTGGTCATTTCAGTGCTGCTAGCTGCGGGCTAGC